TGAAGGTGGAGGTGGATTTATGTGTTGTGTGAGTACAGTATGTGGAGTATGTGAGTTGGTGAGTATTGAATAGTAGTGTGAGTATGTGAGTAAGTATGTGAGTATGTTGAGTGTGCGTATATGATTCGTATGAGTATATGACGTCTATGAGTATATAAGTATATAAATATATCAAGTATATGCGTCTATCGTCTATACGTATTCTCGTATCTCGTCTCTAAGTACTACGTCTACTCGTATATCAGTATTACTCGTCTCTCCGTATATACGTATACTCAAGTCTATCCGTTCATACTCCTCCTTACTCCGTATCTAAGTCATTCCTCTCTGCGTCTCTGCGTCTATGAGTTCTCATGCAGTCTATGCGTCTGGTATATGTCTCTGAGTATCTCATCTATTGTAATTAAAATCGATTTGACTACTTAATATAAAGTTTAATACTAGATATATTAGAGTAGATATAGTACGAAGAGATTAAGATTGAAATAAAAGATTTTTACTAATAATAATTAAATAAGTAAATGAATTATTTTGAGATATTAATTAAATTTAATTCGATTGGAATATAGATATCTACCTATCGTAGAGAGAGTAGAGTATTTAGGTAGACTTACTGCTTTCTATATATCTTATTACCTATAGAAAAGAGGCTAAATACGTATTGAAGGGGGTGAAAAGCTTGATTGTATTCCTATTGAAAAGTTGAAGCTATTTAAGGTGCTAGAAAGCTAAAAACCACGCTAGAGGGGGCTGTAGTATTCACTCTGCTATCTCCTATCTATCTAGATATCTATCTAGATATCTATCTATCTAGATATCTATCTCTCAGTAGATTCGTATCTATAAGGTTATTATATTGCTATTCTGCCCATCTCATTTATAGGTTTTAAATCAAGACGCTTGGGATTTTATTTTATAGGGTGAGAATTTGTGAGGTGGAGGGAGGGGATTGGTGTGTGTTTGTATGTGTGTATTGGTGTTTGGATTGGTGTTTGGGTTAATGGCTGATGGTTGATGGTTGATGATTGATGGTTGATGGTTGATGGTTGATGATTGATGGTTGATGGTTGATGGTTGATGGTTGATGGTTGATGGTTGATGGTTGATGGTTGATGGTTGATGGTTGATGGTTGATGGTGATGGTTGATGGTTGATGGTTGATGATTGATGGTTGATGGTTGAATATTGATAACTGATAGTGAGGTATAAAGAGAGAGAGAGATTTGGATGTATATGTATATGTATAGGAATATAGTGAGTGCAAAAAGGAGAAGTTGTCACTACGAGACTAAGAATGGAAATTAAGAATAGATAGATATTCGCAAATACAGTTTTAGCAATAGAAAGGAGTTTACATAAGAGGAGAAGAGAGGGAGAGACGAGAGGGTTATCGGTCGTAGTGGAGAATTTCATCAGAGGACCCAGTGATTATTCTTGACTGAACATGGTTCGCGGGTTACTAAGTTTATGGTTCGTGGATAGATGTGCAACAAATGGAGGAAATTGTCCTAAATAGCTCGCTTGGTGGTTATTTTAATTTTTTAATTTTTTTTTGGAGGGGGGGAGGGCGGATTCGTATCGATCGTGCATCGTGATGAATACGAAGGAATGTTACTTTACTTAGGTAAGGAGGTAAGGTTATAACGAATGGAGAGGATTGGAGAGGATTGGAAATTGGAGAGGATCTTGGGTCGAGAGGGAGGAGATAGGAAGGGGTGAGTGCGGATTGGTTGGGAAGGGATGGGATTTATCGTAGAGAGTAATATTTAGATGTCATTGTTTTGTTAGTAATAGCTAGGTGAGTTACTGGCTAGAAGTTATTCCCTAGACTGCGGGTTACGGCCGGGTTCCACTTATAATACCTCATTAGCCAATAAAAGTATCACAATCTAAGAGTTCTTGAAATTGTAGATTGTATTATTTTGAATATGAAATATAATAGGATTTAAAAACTTTCTATTAATTTTTTTTTGAAACAAAGTAAAGAAATCTATAATAAACCTTTTAATTATTACTAATTCAATAAATTCTAATCTTAAATTTCAATTAAAAAGTTTTTATATTTGATATAATTTGTGAAGTTATTAATGTTCTTGTTTGTGCACGGGCCACATATGCCGGCCGTAACCCGCAGTCTAGGGGATAAAGGAGTGAGTGAGTGAGTGGAGATTTGATTACAACTGATTTAATTCGAATGAAATGGATGCACACTTTGAATCCATCCCCTTCCTTTCCTTTTGAAACAATTCCGAGTCGGTGGTTGGTTTAGATATGCAACAAAAGGATGCAGAGGCAGGAGGAAGGGAGGGAGGAAAGGAGGTGTGAAAAGGGGTAGGTATACAGCGAACGGTGTAGAAGTGTGGAGTGGAGTGGATTAGGGACTCTTCGCTAGCACCGCTTTTGAAGGGTGTGCGTCGTGCACTGAAGGATGAGAAGATGAAGAGATTGGCTTGAGATGTGCAACAAAGAGGTGAGAGAAATGAGGAAGGGGGAGGGACGAAATCGAGAGGTTTCCTTGGTTGGGAGGCGTGCAACAAAATGAGATTTTTGTTTTTGGGGGTTGGGGTTTTATTGGTTTGGGGGATACTAGGGACTGGATTTGATAATGTGGAGATTTTCGCACGCACGCATCCTTCTTCTTTCTTCACCTCCTTTTGAGGAGAGATGGGATGGTGTTTTTATTGGATTTGAGATGTGCAACAAATGATTTTTGTTTGGTTTGTGAGTTTTGGGTTTGATGCTAGGTGGTTGGTTGGTTGGTAGGTGGTTGGTATAAATAATAAGGTTAATACCTAAGGTTACTTCATAATAACCTTACTTCATTATCATTATCATTATTATTATACTCCCAAAAATACCTATGTAAATATAAATTATACATATACCTCAACAGCCACCTCCCCTCACTCCCTCCCTAGATACCTTACAATAAACATCCCATACTTATTACTACCTACCTACTACACATACCTACCTAGAGATTCTTCGCCTGAAACATAAAGATCATGTGCGCAACCAATAAAAAGTATAAATACTCCGATATGCAACAATGAGCAGCTGATAGCTTGGGTGCGGAAATTTGCATATTAAGATTGGATGATAGATATGCAACAAAAGTTTTTTCTTTTGGAACGGGGAAAAAGTGTGATCTTGGAGAATTGGGGTTGATCACAAGGCTTTGCAAAAAGGGTGTGAAAGTTGTGTGTGTGTGTGTGTGTGTGTGTGTGGCTGATTGATTGGTATGGTCGAATGAAGCCTCCACATACACTTTTTGTGATACGAGATGAGAAGATATTTGTAGGTAGGTGATAGGTGAATGATGGATGGTTATTGGTGAGGGTTGTAGTTTTGTAGAATGGATGGATTGGGTGTGGTCAACTGATTTTGTTGAATGTGCTTGGATGGGACTATATAAGGGATTGGGGTTGGTGAATATGATATGGTGAATATAATATGATGAATATAATATGGTGAATATGATATGGTGAATATGGATTGGTGAATATCATTGGTGAGTGAAAAATTATAAATTAGAGATGGTGAATGAAGTGCTGAGAATAGAATGGAAGAAGAGGGGAAATAGTGAATAGATGAAAGGGGAGAGGGGTGTTGAAAGGGGAAAAGTGAATAGGGAGGAAAGAAGAGGTATAGGAAAGAGGAGAGAAAGGGGGAAGGGCGGGGGGAGGGAGGAGGGCGGGGGAGGAGTGTAGAAAAGTGAATGGAAAATAGTGAATTGGGAATGGGAGGAGATGGTGAGGGGAAGAGAGGGGAAGAGAGGGGAAGAGAGGGGAAGAGAGGGGAAGAGAGGGGAAGAGAGGGGAAGAGAGGGGAAGAGAGGAAAAGTAAGGAAAAGAGAAAGTCTAAAAGTAAACCTAAAAAATCCCACAAGAATGAACAAGGAGTAGAAAAAACTAAAAGAGAAGAAGCGAATTCATCTCGATATCTCGATATAATCTTATATTATCTAATGTATTTCCTCTTTCTAGATATAAAAGATTTGTTATTAAAAGAAAAAGTAATAGTAAGGTTATTAGAATAAAAGAATTTATAAGAAAAGTAGGATTTTAAATTTTCGAAATTTATTTATATGAAAATATATATATATATATAAATACATAGAGTATTATAAATAGAATTAGTTTAGAGAAATACAAACTATCTATCTGAAGTTATTTACTATTTATAATTAATTGAAATATTCATAGTAAATTACTTAAATCGATAGAGGAGGAATATTTTAAATAATTAAACTATATAAAAAATAGAGTAATTTATTTATATAGTAATATAATATAATATAAAAACTTAACTATAACTATTTAAATATATAAAAAAATATTATAATATAATAGCATTAGAGATCTGGTTTATTTTCAAGCTTTTTCTTGAAACAAATAATTTTTATTTCATAAATAGAATTTTATTGTAATTTCTAATATAGTATAATATATCTTTACTCGTATATATATTTCTTTTAGAAGATTCTCCCTCTAAATGTTAAATTGATATTAAATTATATTATACTATATCATATCATCTCACTTTCAATTTCTTCAATTATATTTTATTATAGAATTACTCACTTTCCTTTAGCTTACAACTCTACTAACATCTTTATTTTTTTTATTTTTTTAAAAAAAGCCTCGAGATGTATTCAGGCCTTTAGGTAGGAGTAGTAATGCCTCCGGTGCCGAAGAGCCCCGAAAAAACAATGAGAGCGATGCACTATACAAAAGGAAAGAGTAATTCTATATTTGTGATCACTACAGCCCAGCAGGAATCGATTCGGTCAGATTAGATCAGATCTCATAATCATATATTCATTAAGTATTATGCAACATATAGGCAAACTCATGAGCAAATCCGATACTCCTCCAATCTACACCAGTGGAGGCATCTCTCCTATATCCACCACGCATGGAAGATATCATAACAGGATTGTAGTACAGCGATTTCCATATCCAAAACTATTCCAGACCGTTATTCCTCACAAGCATTATCTAGCTCTCTCTTTTCCTGGTTGGGGGAACAAAAGGCTGTGTTGTACGATTGGCCCAGCCATTCATGCTCCTTTTGACACCGAGTGTTTTTTTGGCGCCACTCGATCCTTGTGCTATTGACATGCTAGTGGTATGCATTGTTCTCGCGGGACGGACCAACGACATAATTGCGGGTTTTGCTGTTAGACCAGGGGGAGGGACTTCTGGCGCCGGTTCGGCAAGTATTCTAGGTTGTTTTGCTCTAGGTGGAGAGCTAGACAGGAATACGTAGTTATCGTCCTGTTGTTCTTGGATCCGATTAACGTTTGGTCGGGATAGTGCAGCAGCCGTCCCTAGACGATGTCCGGAAAAAAGTGGAGGCAGAGTTTCGCTATCATTTTGCTGCGTCAATTGCATCAGTCCTTCGGAGGTCGTGTTTCGCTGTCTATGTAATTGTGCAATAGCCCTGGTCTTTTCTTCTCGGTACTCATCGACTATGGGCGCTGGCTTAGTCTCCTTTTGTGGCTCTTGCTTCCCCAAGAACCCCAAGAGTGTACCTTGGCTAGTAGCTGGACCTTTGATCGCTTTTCTAGAGCCTTTGGCTTTCTCGTTTATTGAAGCTGATTTGATTTCACCCCTGGTTTGACTCGACGATTGCTCGCCAAGGACCTGAAGATGAGAGCCAGCACTAACAAATCCACCACTCAAGGTAAACTTAGAGGCTCTTTCCATGGTTGTCGTGGGCGTGTTGTTATAGACCACGCTTGAAATGTTTCCAGTTTGGTCCGCTATATCAGCACGTCGACGTTTAGCAGGTCGCTGACCCATGGTGAAATTGGGGTTACCATTGCCAACATTCCACTTGGACTCGTCCTCTTTGTCATTCTCCGGTTCCATGGGGTAATATGTATCCTCAGTTCGCTCGACACAGGCAGAAGATTCGGCGATTGATTCTCTAGTCGGAAACGGTCGCCGGAGAATCTGAGCCAGGCACTGAACTGTATTTGAACGTAACGAAGGGCCCTTGTAGTCTAAATGTGCTCTGAGGCCACGGGCAGAGAGAAAGGGACAAGTCGTTGTCAACTCTTGCAATGAGTTTTTGAGGGGACAACTCATGTTAAGTAAAGCCTTAGCTCGGGTCATAGCTACATATAACAATCTTCGTTCTTCGTCAGTGTCCTCCGCTCTAGAGTGTGGTATACTGCCTTGATATGCACCAGGAATGAAGACTATTGGCCATTCCAGACCTTTAGCAGCATGTATGGTAGATATTGTGACCTGAGGTGTGTTATGTGTTTTGTCTTCCTCCTTCGTTACTTCCGAAGCCAATGCTACGTTGGCTAAAAATCGAGAAAGGGAATCGGAAGCATCTTCTTGTTTCAAACCATCGATTTGAGGGAGCGATTCATCCTCATAACCATTGGATATAAGCTCTTGGAAGTCTGCAGCCTGAGTCATAAGCTCTTTCACATTGTCCCACTGTGCCTTAGTAATGTCACCACGGTGTTCCTCAAGCCAGGTCTCGTAAGATGTTTTCTCTATAATAAACTCCAAAATCTTTACAATCGAATTTTCCTTATTTGAGGGATCCGCAACTTTCTTCATACCCGTCAAGATGATATCAACAAAGACCGAAAGATTTCTCTCGACTGATGGTGTAAGCTTGGTTTTTGTTGCGCGTCTTCCCTGCACGGACTTGAGGATTAATGACCAAAGGGTTAATTTAGATTGCTCTGCCTCTTCGAGTAGAGCTTTTATGGTTACTTCGCCGATTCTCCTCGAGGGAGTGTTGATGATTCTCGCCAACGCATCATTATGATCAGGTAAATTAATCACTCTCAAATAATCCAATAACGTTTTGATTTCAATACGATCATAAAATCGAAGACCACCTGCAATATGTTAGCCATAGATCAGTCGCGTTGCTGCCTTTTTTTTTTTTTTCTAAAAAAAAAGGCGCTGATCTGGCTGTAAGCTGCACAGTTGGTAGAAGAGATGATACTTACCAACCATGCGGTAGGCTATACCTGCTTTGCCTAATGAACTTTCTATTATTCTTGAAAGTGCCGAAGATCTTAACAGAATAGCGAAGTCATTCAAGTCTAGTAGGTCGCCTGTCATACCCATTATCCTTTGTATTTCTTGAATAATCCAGTCTGCTTCCTTCTGAGCAGTTGCAAGTTTGCGGAGAACTGGACGTGTGCCAACAACATGAGTAGGCAATAGAGACTTTGCAATCCTGGATGAATCTTGCTCAATTACATTCAGTGCTGTGAGTAGTATGGCGCCCGATGACCGGTAATTCTCCTCCAACGAGATGGTAACTGTATCCGGATATTGTTTTATCATTCGTTTGTAGTTTTTGATTTCGGCAGCTCGAAAGCTATATATGCTTTGATCGGGGTCTCCAACAATAGTGATTCGTTTTTGAGATACAGCAAACAATCGCATGAGATCAAATTGCACCAGGTTTGTGTCTTGAAATTCGTCAATCAAAACGGCTTCAATGTTAGCCACACAGGATGGATAGAGTCGTAAAAGCTCGACACATCTTACAAGCAAATCATCGTAGTCGAGCAGGTTCGAAAGCTCCAGGGTTGCTTGGTATTCGGCATGTACAATCTCGAATTCTTGCGTATCTACAGTTTTCTTCTTGGCCTCGGGAACCTTGCTCGCAGATGCAGAACCTTTTGCTTTTAGAGAGCTTATGCGAGATCGTGCGACTTTTGGGTCTATATTCAGGTCCTTCCGCTTCACAATTCTTTTGATGATGGCTAGAGAATCATTCGAATCTGCGATTCCAAAGCCCTTTCGAATCCCTATCAAATGCCCGTATTGTGCCAGGTATATTCGCGCAATCCTATGAAACGTTCCCAGTATTAACTTTGATTCCAATCCACTTCCTATCAACTTCCCAATTCTTTCTTTCATCTCTCGAGCTGCCTTGACCGTAAAAGTTGCCACAATTATATTACATGGTTGCAATCCTTGTTGCAATAACCAAGCCGTTCGCGACGTTAAAGTGTGTGTTTTCCCACTTCCTGGTCCTGCCAATATAGCGAGGGTATCTGCTTGTGATGAGACTGCGGCTTTTTGTGAAGCATTAAGGCCCCTAAGAAGGTTATCAATGGTCATTTTCGTGGCTTGAATTTCCGCTGGCGGATGTCTCAGGCTTGCGCGTTGTCGACAATGGGAGATGGTTTGGATAAATAAGGTAGAATGGGCATTTGTGATTTTCCTGGGATTTGGAGCATCTGCAAATTAGGTCATAGGAGCATTGTATTTCTTCTTCTTCCGAAAAATTCAATCGTGCTTGATCTTGAGCCTAAAAACTTCGGGAAAGGAAAAGATGGACTTGATCAGGAAGAGGACGACGATGCGCGACGCGATAAATTAGGATTGGCGTATTTTGATCGCGCTAAATACGCGAAGTCATGCGTTTTTTAATCATCTCATCTCAACCATTCAGACAGGCTATACATGAGAAAAAAGAGGCCAAAATTAATTATCTTAATAAATTTTATATTAGATCAACAATATAACAAGTCTATAAGATTTAATAGTATTATATAGATTCTTCTATTTGTATTATACTATTTGAGCTTTTAATTCTCTAAATTGAATTAGAATAATTAGATTATTTAAACATTTAATTCTCTAAATTAAAATAGAATAATTAAATTATTAAAAGACTTAGACTCTATATAGAATAAAAAAAGATCAAAATTAACTACTAACGAAACCTTTCAATAATCTAATTATTCTAATTCAATTTAAAGAATCAAACGTTTAAATACTTTTATAATTAAAGAACATTCAAGGGTTTATTTAATATTACTGACTTTTTTATCGATTAATTTAGTAGAAACTTTTAGCCTCATTTTTCTTCTGTATAGAAGAGATAGGTAACTTTTATATTTCTTGTAATTTATAAATAATACTAATAATATCAACGATGTAGTTTCAAACTCCAGGACAATGCTTTAAGAAGAAATTTTCTATGTCCATGCAACACCTAATCCCGCTTAACAGAGTATACCTATGCCTACCTAGGTATATATGCACTGCCAGTATGCCATATTCATGATATGCAAGACGATGCAAAACTTTGCTACCTGTTACCGCACTACTTACTTTTGCAATTCAAGCATTGCAGCAAGCTACCGCGACTGCCGCTCCCAACAGCGAACTCTCCTCCGCATACATTAACTCCACAATACCGCCTCTTGCACCACTTGCTTCTACCAGCATATCAATATGTTTTTGTGTATTTTTTCGAAATTCTGGATAATTTTCCAGCACAGAGCCATTGTAAGCCACGACTGTGTGAGCTGAGTTGGCGAGTGAGATTAATTCGGATGTGTTACGCATGTGCCAGAGGGCATGGACACCAGCAGCAATGAGACCGCTAGATCGAAGAGTTACGAGGGAAGCTATGAGTCGTAAAGCACGAAGATCGACTTCGGTGGGGATATGAGAGGATGGGTGACGGGTGGTAAATATTTCTATGGCAGTAGTGAGGTATGGATTTGTATCGCTAAGGATAGTGTTAGTCTAGTTTGGAAACTATCAATGCATGAAGATGATGGCAACTACAAAGAAAAGTGTCTTATAGTTGGTGACTTACGCTTCGATGTATGAGAGAGTTTCGGTCTCTAGCGAGTATTTCTCCCTTAGATTCATAGGCACCACTCCTCCAAATAGCCCTGCGCTCTGAATCCCATCAATCAATATTAATCGTACGATTTCTCCTATATATCCACCACTTGCGAAATGTTCAAATGGTTGAAAGTCTGGTCGAGGATGATTTGCCTTCAAAGTTTTATCCCATTTTGTGTACGGAAGATAACTTCCACCAAACATTGAGAGTTCCGTGTTGACAATAACATGTTTTGCGCAATCATGCCAAGATGCAGGACGGATCCCAAATTTTGGCTGTGAAAAGATGTGGACAGGAAGATGAGCTGCAGCATTCAAACCAGTTCCCAAGATCAATGCGAAACGAGTGGTAGGATCTATATATGCTTTGGAAAGTAATGTTGCTGAAGAGTCGTTCACAATGGCATTCAACTGAACGTTGAGTCCTCTTTTCAGGCAGGAGTCTTCAATCAAGTCGCCTAGGTCTTTGCCAATCAACCCATCGGCAGCACAAAATCCTTTGCCCATGCTCATGAGAAGACCGCCCCTAAGTGATGTTTGACTGTGGAACTACCGTCAGCTGACTTCGCATTGGATAATTATCTTGATGATCATACTTAATAGGAAAAGACCAGGACAATCCCACGGATAAGGGTGCCTTTGAAATTTCATGTCCTTCCTTTTCCCCGGAAAGAGTGTCGACAATTCGATCTGCCATCCAATCGAAGAACTGTACCCCGACAAGCTGTCTCTCAGCATTTTTGATCTTGAAAGACTTTAATCCAATAACCTCAATCTCTTTCCCTTCACACCCTTTTCCAGCAAGTTTAATCAAAGCCACTCGAAAAGTCGACCCCCCAACGTCTAGAGCAAGGTATGTTCCACATTCATGACCACTAGGTAATTGATGATTGTATGAAGGAAGCATACATTGTGGATTTTCCAATAAGCTCTCCGCGAACTCTTTTCTCAAGCCATCTGACAATGCCAGCAAGGAGGCCTCTGTCGTAGAATCTTTAAAGGCAGCTTCAACCTGGTCTAAAAACTTCTTGACTTTCGTCAGTGAAATATCCTTTACATCAACATTTTCGTCCTTGATCCGTTTGATGGTCGAGGGCGCAATCCAGAATTTGATAATGATCTCTAAAATCGACTTTGTCTTAAGAAAAGATTTGATAAATGCGGCATAGAAAGCCTGTCGTACCCTATGCATGGCAGCGATGAACGGCTGCATGATATGAAGTCCTCATACATATAGGAAATGCTCAATGAGACTAACGCGCTAAAACACGAAAGTGCTAGGGTAGTGCTGATATGGATCCCGCCTGCTCCATATCACAACAAAGATGAAGAAGGGAGTTTAAACAACTGAAAGATCGATAAGATGGTAAACTTCAATTGTGGCAAAAAAATGGATCCAATGGATGTAAGAGGAAAGGACAGATCGGGCGCTAGAGGTATACGATGTAAAAAAGAAATATGGTAGTAGGACTTTTACCCTCGTGCTCGTAAAAATTATGTAGGCTAGACGTTTCTGCCGATTGTGGTAACAAGCTGGAATGAATGGATGAATGAATGAATGGTTGTCTATGGAGGAAACACGTACAAGACCTGTTACTTTCCTGGGGAGGGTAACTATTGCGCCATCATTCACGAGGAATGCAATATCAAACAATTGGTTACCCAGCTCCAAGAATAGATTGAATTGGTAGGATAAGGGAAAAAGTTTAAGCCAAGACTGAAGAGAATGCTACAAGTAGACAAGAATGAATGGGAGTAACATCGTATCCTCACTCGGTTCGTCATTTCCCAGAAAGTTGGATCCCAATGGCAATGAAAATAAATTAACAAAAGTTACCTTCTTCAATTGAAACAAGCTACTTGGAAGTAAAGGGTCCAATGCTGAGCCGTCCCTCCATTCTGTTTAGAAGTTGATCATAATTTTGCGTTGCTGCGTTGCTGTGTTGCAGCATTGTTCAGCAGGACAAGATCCTCCAGACCATCGAAAATGGATATGCCCCTGCATAATGGCCCCTTCTCCATCTTTGGATGAGATACTATGTAAAGTACCTACCTACCTAGGTAGTAGTAGATCCGACGCAGAATCCGACGCAGAATCCGACGCAGAATCAGAATCAGACTCAGGGAAACATTCCCAGAGCATTCCCATGAGTCAAATTGTCAAGATTTCATGATATGTGGTTCGTATCGCATTGAATTTAAACCGTATGGAGTAATATTATAATGGGGTCCAATACAATCGTAGCTAGCACAAACGATTAGTTGCTTTGCTCGTTTGAAAGCAACGTTACAATTGGGGAGAGCATTTTGCATTTGGATCTCCGTCCCACCACCCACCACCATCTACAGGAAAGCTTGGATGTGATTTCTTTCTACGGCACAAAGCTGTGAGTTGATTAGATATGTACACGATAGAAAAATGTGAGAGAACTCAGAGGAGGATCTTTGGGAAGAAGGAGGAATTGAGAAGATTTGAAAGCTTATCTAAGCATCAATAATGATCACTTCTATTGTCAAAGTACAGATTGGATTTTGGGATATCAACGTCTCTCATCAACTGTGATCTGATATGTCTTGACAGTTTCTAACTAATATTCCTCTACGACTTCACAACCCAAGTACCAAGACGGAAGATCAATTCCATCCATGATCCATCAGTAAGTAATTCATGAATTAATCTAGCGTTCCTCCGTACATTCCTCCTCCAATCCACAATTCTAATCGGGATAAGCTTTAAGCGAATGTAACGGTAAGACAACGAGAAGAAACATCAAGCCATCCTCCCATACATCAAAACGTCCTTTGGAATTTCTCCGACCCTCCCACCTCCTTCCTTGAAACTTCACCACCATCAACTTTGGGAGGGCTTTTGGAAAGCTTGTATCGTGGGTGTAACTATGTGTACGTACGACGACCAACAACCAACAATTATGATATGGATATGATATGGATCTGATATGGATATGATATGCCAATGAAATGGTCAACGTGCTTGATCGTTCATCGGAACTTATTGACCAACTTATGACTCGGGGCTTCTAGGGCTCATTGTGACAGCCGTTAGTGGAGATGCATCGATCTTGTGGGGTAAGCAAACTACCATCCTTCTTTCTATCAAACTACCGGTATCAGTAAAAGGCTATCAGTACTGACTGGGTCGTCGTGACGTTCCATACACTATCAAGATGATGGAGGGGCAGAATGATAGAGTCAAAGGTCACAATACTTGAATCGGTCCAATGAACAACACCATCATGAGAACTTTCTATCAAGGTTTGTCGATGAAAGTTTGCATTTCCTTGTTGTGAAGCATGGAAGCTAATGGCTTGATGCCATCATCCTGCGACGAAACCCATATCAGTAAGGTACGGCAGGCACGGCAATCCATTTGTCCAATTTCTTTGATTATCTACAAGGTAGATAATCTTCGGTTTTATATTCACTGTTCGCATGCCGTATACTCCATCTCTGCGGGAATATAATCATACCTAAACTTTCTGCAAACTTACATTACAATCTACAAACACCTACATACCTTAATATCCACACTTCAGAAATCCTCATAACTTCCTACATTAATTCAAATACAATCAAAATGAGATTCATCATCAGAGATGGCAGAACAGAGGCATCTGCCTACGTTGCGCAGTACATTGTTGGTAAGATTCTACCTCTGGCTGAAGATACAAACATCGATTGACATTTTGCTTAGATCGTATCAACGCTTTCGGACCTACCCCAGACCATCCGTTCGTTCTTGGTCTTCCTACTGGTTCCTCCCCGATTGGCATATATAAGATTCTCGTCGAAAAGTACAAGGCTGGTGAAATCTCATTCAGAAATGTTGTCACTTTCAATATGGTATGTTTGTATACTTTGCACACAAAGCTGCATTCACCTCTAGTATCAAGTCAGATCACTAACATAAGTAACTTGCATAGGATGAATACATTGGTATTCCACGCAACCATCCAGAAAGCTATCATACATTCATGTACAAGCATTTCTTCTCCCACGTTGATGTCCTTCCTCAAAACGTCCACATCCTAAATGGCAATGCCGAGAATCTCGAGGCCGAATGCGTACAATATGAGGAAGCTATCAAAGCAAAGGGCGGAATCGATTTGTTCCTTGGCGGAATTGGACCAGATGGACATATCGCATTCAATGAGCCTGGATCTTCCCTCGCATCTCGTACAAGAGTCAAGACTTTGGCATATGATACAATCATTGCCAATTCCCGATTCTTCGATAACGATTTGGAAAAGGTTCCAAAGATGGCTTTGACAGTGGGTATTCAAACTATCTTGGAGGCTAGAGAAGTTGTCATCATTATCACTGGAGCACATAAAGCTTTGGCTTTGGCAAAATGTATTGAAGAAGGTGTGAACCACATGTGGACCCTCTCTTCTTTACAGATGCATCCACATCCAATGATCGTTGCAGATGAAGATGCAACACTTGAGCTTCGAGTTAAAACAGTCAGAGTAATTGCCCCACTTTATCTTACCCCGCCATCCACTTACCCCTCCATGGTCAACTTCCCTTCTTAATCATAGTTGAACTCCGTTGCTAACAAAACTTCAAACAGTACTGGAAATCAATTGAGAAAGTCGCCGCCGATGAAGGTTTCGAACAAATCCTTCCATCTGCTGCTCGTACAGGCCCCAAGCGTACTGTCCCTCTCGCACCTATGGCAGAGAGCTTAATCAAAGAAACACCTACCATCAAGTCTCCACAACCTCTCACAAGCACTTTCTTGGCTGCACCAGCTACCGAGTATCCAATTCGCAGAAGCATTACTCCAGATCTAATTCCTGACCGTATGGGAAGCAGAATTGTATCGGTTTGATACTGCGGTTAGTAGTTTGGGTACGGATTCGATAATATTGGGCATGGGAGGATCAAATTGGGTTACATGGACACGAGATAACAAGGTCTTCTCTTCGTAGCGGAATTGTTAGTCTTTACGGTTTTCGGGGGTAGATCTCCGCAACGCTTTTCTACGTTTCTCTTCACTTTCTTCTTTGGACTATACGTATCTTTGCAAGATATCAAGTCCTTTCTGCTTCTTTTGTTTTTATGGCGAGCGAGACGGAAGTTATTTACATTAAAGTAAACTCACCTACACTAAATTTCTAAGATTCCCACGAATCCTCTGTATTACTAAATAGACAAGATGAGGGTCAATGAGAAATGAATAAATGAATATATAAATTAATAATCTTTATTGTGTTCTGCAATGATGTATGCGCGTTGTGTGTTGTGTATGTGATTATTGTAAATGTTTAACACAAATATACACATACAACACAAGTATACAAAGTATCAAGAGTATCTAGTTTGACAAAAATTAAGCTATATCTATGTGTTTTCGTTCTGACTTGGGCTGTGAAACCAATTTCTATCTATGTAGTTCTTTGGCAATTTGGTGGAGTACACTCGCTATGTTTGTTAATCTGTAAGTACAAATGAAGAAAAAAATAAATAGAAACTCCAATTGAAAAAGCGTTCATAGTCTTCCTTGCCACCAATAACGAACAACCAGAATTCCTCATTTCCCTATCCAATAATCTTTCCCCTCTCCTCCCCTTCCCTCTCAAAAACCCTCACCCCAAATTTCCACACCTCATCCACCACAACCCTCTTCCTGCCCTCCTCAACCACCACATCCAACACACACAAATCCGCATCCATTCCCCCCTCCAACCCACCCTTCACATGGTCCAAGCCCAGCATTCTCGCCGGGGTCTCGGTGACTGCTTTCAAGGCCTGCGCGACACTGCATCCTGTCCAGTTGAGGAAATTGGATACGCATTCGACGAGCGTGATGGAGGAGCCTGCGATTTTCCCATCGGATTCCAGACGCAGGTGGATGCCGTCTTTGAGGATGAAATCGTTGTTCCAGGCGTAGCGGCCGTTGGGGAGACCGACGAGGTGCATGGCGTCGGTGACGAGGATGAGGCCTGAGGGGTGTGCGTTGTAGGCGAGGGTTATGGTGGTGGGGTGGAGGTGGATGGAGTCGGCTATGATGCCGAAGTAGGGGCGTTGGGTGATGGGTTTGGGGAGAGGGGGGATGATGTTTTGAGTGACGAGGGGAGAGGAGGGGGGAGTGGTGGAGGGGGAGGAATTGGTTGTGGGGGTTGTGCCGAGGAGACCGAAGATTCCGGGATTGCGGTGATGGAGAGGAAGCATGGCGTTGAAGAGGTGGGTTATCATTGTTGCTCCGGCGGTGACGGCGGCGGTGGCGTCTTCGTAGGTAGATTCTGTGTGGCCGATACTGAAGATGATGTTGTGAGGGGGGGAGGTAAGGGTTGGGATGAGAGAAGTCATGTGTGGAAGTTCGGGGGCAGCGGTTATGAGACGGATGTTTCCGAGGAGGTTTGAAGCACCGTAACAATCTGAGAGGGAAGTGAGGTCGTTGGATTTGGGAGCTAATAGGACGGGGAGGGGATGGATTCCATTTTTGGTGGGAGCGAGAAATGGTCCTTCGACGTGAGCGCCCAGTGATTCGGTTCCATCTGATGCAAGACGACTTGCTCCAGAGGGTCCTAGAAATGGAAGTGCCTTGAGGAGATTGTTAGTACAAATTCATCCATATAGATCACGCCAAATACTTACATGATGATAGACCTCCGGCCTCGATGATGTGATAGTAGGTAAATGTGAAGTAACGCCCGTCTTAATCAACAGTTGATTAATCCTCTTGAATTCCTTTGCATAAGCATTAGGATCATCACTTTCTGGTATAGAAGCGAAATCGAATCCAAAAGCTCCATTTAATTGTGTGTCGATGAAACCTGGTGAGATAATGCGACCACCCAGATCAATAACTTCATCTGGTACACATAATTGACCATAGAAAGCTTCCTGGCTTTGGATAATTTTACCGGTGAAGGAGGAGACCCATAGATCTTGGGTTACTAAAGATTCGCCCTTTAGGAGACGACAATTTGTAAACTTTGTGACTTTGGAAGTCGAGGTTGGTAGTGCCGATGGCATGATTGTGGGCTTGATGGTAGAGTTGTGTTACAGAGGAAGGTAGGAAGATAGGAAGATAGGAAGATAGGAAGATAGGAAGATAGGAAGATAGGAAGATAGGAAGATAGGAAGATAGGAAGTGTTTTAAGAAATAAGGTAGGAGACAAAGAGAAAGAAGATTTGAAGATATCATGCAAATAGTACTGCAATCTCATTCACTAGAAAATGAATATCTCTAGACTTGAAGAACTTTGAGAATTCACTTGTACCTTCCATAGTTTACTTTACATAGGTACCTATGACCATACCTACCTACCTACCTACCTACCTACCTACCTACCTACCTACCTACCTACCTACCAACGCATATGCCGTACTGGGGATGATTTGATAGTGCAAATCCGAACATTAGCTCATCTAAAACATGATAACCTTAAACAACAACCTTGGAAGGGCAAAGTATCTTCCAAACTGAAAATTTCATGTGTTATCAATTGTATCATACCATGACCCAGCATCAGCATCAGTATCAGTATCATGTCATATTGCATCTATCCTATCCACCATATCGTAGCGTTGGGCTGGTAGAGAGGGTGTGGTTGATTGAGTGGAGAGGAAGACGAGCGACCATCAACGTTCAATGTTGGGATCTTATGTTGTAAGGGAACCGCAGATACATATGTAACGTCGTATCGAATCGACGGATCATCGGAGGTCGGTAGTTTAAATTCAAGAGAAACGATTAAAAATTGTCGAATAATAATCTATTTATCAAGCACACTTGAAATCACTTGATGATAATAATTATATGCCAAGTCGCCGAGATTATATGTTATTGTTTGAATCTTGTATGAACTTTGAAAACATGCTGGCTTGGCTTTTCCTGACCTCAGCAATCAATTTTCAAGTCGTGATATTTGTCTGGAGTAAGGTTAAAGCCACACACACCACGGCGCACAGTCCGACAATTCCCCGGTGCAACATCATGTGACCATTTCAGATGGCCCCGAGGAAGAACAATATCCCAGCCACCCACTTATCACTGCCTACCTCGTAGGTACATTTGTACGGAGTACATCCTACAACACCCTAGCTGAAACCAACCACTTACATCTGTTCAAGTGACACACCCCAAGGTGCTGGATATGTGAGGCTGATGATTATACATCAAAATATATTTCATGCATACCTTTTGAATAGTAGCGAAGAAGCGACGGCTGTGATGAATACGTTCATTTTCATTTTTCCTTGTATAACACCATCCAATAGCATTCTTCACATATCATGATTTCTTAATTATACACGGAAAGCGGAGCAGACGATCATCCTAGACACTCGGCCAACGTTGCGCTCAAGTTTATAGCCCTGTTACACTCTCTAAATTACGTTGTCCAGAGGGAAAATAACGACATTTGTACAGCAAGAACATATCAAAGATGGATGCTACAGAAGAGGAACTGGATCCTTTGTGGAAGGACCTCGATTGGTAGGTTCTGGGCCATTTACATAGAGACTTGGAAATAGGCTAACAAAATAAAGGGCCATGGGACAGTGAGTATATTCTTAATCTACCGAGCTGTATGGGACAATGTTTTATAGCTCTGCGATTATTTTTTTGATCCTGGATACTAATCGGGTATCTCTGACTACAGATGCTTTATGATGGGATTTGAGGGGACCGAGGTTACTCCTCAAATCAGGACTCTTATTGAAGATCATCATCTAGGTGCTATTTTGCTGTCGACCAAGAACATGAAGTGTAATAATTTGTATTTCTTATTTCTGTTTGTAGTGTTTCTTTTTTCCCGTCGTTTTGTAATCCAATGGGCAGTTGGCAGTGGCTTTGACTTGTCACCTTGATGGCTTTTGACCCAGCCATGTAATTCGCCTCCCAGTCGCATATATTTCACGTGCATTTCATTTGTATGATGATGATGTTGTTCTTCAAGTTCCCTTATAGACAATCGTTGACCTGAGTAGCTGCCCGAGAGACAGCAAATTTAGTACAGGAACTCCAAACGATCGCGCACCAAGCTGGTCATCTAGTCCCTTTAATCATTGCTCTTGATCAAGAGAATGGTGGCGTCAATAGCCTTTTTGATGAAGATTACATCTGTCAGTTTCCCAGTGCAATGGGAATGGCAGCAACTGGATCTCTAGAGCTTGCATACGAAGTTGCCAATGCAACAGCCAAAGAATTATCAGCAGTTGGAGTTAATATGATAATGGGCCCTTGTCTTGATGTCTTGACAAATGCTCGTTATCAACCATTGGGTGTTAGAGCTACTGGAGATGATCCTCAAGAAGTTTCTCAATATGGTATTGCTGCCATGAATGGGTATAAGGATGCCGGGCTCGCTTCCTGTGGGAAACATTTTCCATCTTATGGAAATCTAGATTTCCTAGGATCATCTCTTGACATGCCCATTATCACAGAGACTCTTGAGCAGCTAAGTCTTGGTGCTCTGGTTCCATTCCGAAATGCTATTCGTGAAGGAATGGATTCCATTATGGTTGGTGGATGTGCAATAGCAAATGCTGGTTTGTTCATCTTTTGTATTGTTGAGTTGTGTTGTTAACACTGAATAGGAATGAATGTCATGCACGCCTGTCTTAGTGATCAAGTTGTGGATGATCTCCTTCGGAACGATCTTGGCTTCAATGGTGTAGTTGTTTCTGAATGTCTTGAGATGGAAGCATTAAGCCATGATATTGGAGTTAGAGGTGGTACCGTCATGGCAGTAGAAGCTGGATGTGATCTGGTACTTCTCTGTCGCTCTTACTCTGTTCAAAGAGAAGCCATTGCAGGATTGAAACTTGGACTGGAAAATGACATGATCTCTAGAGAACGTATAAACCTCTCTTTGAAGCGAGTCTTGAGGGTCAAATCACAGTGCACATCTTGGGCTAAAGCCTTGAACCCTCCAGGTATTAGCCATCTCACATCTTTACATCCTGGCCATCTCGCTTTGTCTACAAAAGCATACGATAACTCAATAACTATCATGAGAGACAAAGGCCATTTACTCCCGCTATCAAATAGTTACTCTGAAGATGACGATGATCTTCTCCTTTTAACACCATTAGTGAAGCCATTACCAGCATCTACCGCAACTCTTGGTCACGAGAATGCAAAATCTACCAACAATGAATCTGAAAAATCACACAAATCATCAATCATGAGTGGTGAAGGTGTTTTTCGAGAATTAGGGAGAGCTCTAGCGCGTCAAAGACATGGAAGACTTCTTCATACTTCATATACCGCAAATGGAGTTCGACCAGTCCATGAAAATCTGATCAACAGAGCAGGAACCATTATCATTATAACAGCTGATGCAACTCGAAATTTATATCAAAATGGATTTACCAAACATGTCGCTATGATGTGTTCGATGCTTAGTTCTGCAGGAAAGAAGAAGTCATTGATTGTGGTTTCAGTTAGTTCTCCATATGATTTTGCTATGGATAAGAGTATTGGGACATATGTTTGTACTTTTGATTTTACGGAAACGGCTATGAAAGCATTGGTGAGGGCGTTATTTGGGGATTTTGTTCCTCAAGGAACATTACCTGGTACGCTTAGAAAGAGTAGGAAAGTACAGAAATCGAGACAGCATTGGTTAGTGGAGAGTTACAATAGAGATCGGGATGCAAGAGGTCTACAAGCACTTATTACATCTATCGAGAAGACTACTCCACCGAATCAACAATCGGCATTAGCGGGTGCAACAGCGGGTTCGTTTGAAAAGGTATGTGTTTTAGACTCTCTTTTATACCATGGTATTCGCATTTAAATTCATGTATAAGATAGCTAACACTTTCTTCCACGTTCTTAGCCATCTGCCGTAAATAATAATTCTCTTGAAGAGTCTCATTACGTTGTGCGCAACAGCAGTACTCAAGCTCTATTTGGATTTTGCTCCACCACCTATTTGCCCAGTACTCACACCGGTACAATCTCCGCCCTATTTGTCGACCCTTCCAAGCGTAATCTCTCAATCGGCCACTCCCTCCATCAACGTGCCCTCCGTCATCTCCTCCAAAAACCAAATATCACTCACCTTCAACTCGGCTCTACCCTCCCAGCTATCTACCTTGGCATTCCTATGAGTGACCTCACCGAAGGTGCACGCCTTAAACGTTGGTTCGCTACAAATGGCTGGGACATCCTTTCTCCGAGATTCTTATACACGTTGATAATTCGCAACGTATCAATTTGGACACCTCCAGAAGGCCTCTTAGGAACGATCCAACGCTTATCCCTTCAATTTGATTTGATTCATGGTCCTTCCAACTCCGCAACCCAAGTTCTAGACTTCGTCCAGACCCATTCATCGCCTGAAATTCATAGTCTTTATAATCTCGCAATCATGGATCCAAAATCTTGTGGTATCGTGAGGGCTAAATCACCAATCGATGGGAGTCTCGTGGGCACGATTATTATCTCAAAGTCTGGTACTATGCTTTCGCGTTGGATGCCCGTTCTTTCTTCTTCTCCCATTCAATCTGCTTCTATTTCCCATACAAATTCCAACAATTTCAATCCCAAGGGAAAAGAAAAGGAAGAAAATAGAAATGGGAATAACTCAGTAGGAGGTATCTTAGCCCCAATCATCCCATCAAATAATGCGCAACGAGAAACAATCTTGCAAGGATTGGTCATGTTGAGTATCAGACAGAATAGAAATAAGGGGGATGGAAAGGGAGTGGTGTTGAATTGGGTTGTGGGAAGTGATCGGGATGTTTTGTTGGGGATGGGATTCGACGTGTTAGAGGCGTGGGAAGAGGTGGTCTGTGAAGTTGAGAGGGTGAGTTTATTTTGATTTACGACGTGAGGATGGTGTGATTGTCAAGGAGTTGGGTTGGATGGATGTATGGAGAGATTGTATGGGGAAGATATGCTAATGAATGCTTGCTTATAGTGGAGTGATATAAATTTAGGTTGAAGGGGAGATGGAAAGAGGTGGACATATGATGTGACATTTTCTTGTATGTTTAATATAATCAATCTTTTCTTCGGA